TGTTTGTGTGTGTGTGGGAGTGTGCACGCCGTTCCTTGTGTGCAGCACAGCACATTTGTTCATCTGCTGTTTGCTGCGGGCCTGTTTTTCAGTTCGTCGCCATTCCTCGGACTTTACAAGGAGTCATAAACGGTCATAAAGCCATAAAAGTCTTGAGGTCTCACTCACACACACACACACACACACACACACACACACACTGTTTCTCTCTCTAACACACACACACACACGAGGGGAAAAAGAGCCATAAAGCAATAAAACAGCAGTCTGACTCCTTCAGCTTTAATTGTCGATAATCTCTGAAGTTTCTTAGATTCCTGGAGTTCCTTCAGCAGCTCTTAACTGTTTACACTGCGGCTCAATCACAGCTACACCGGGGTGATTTACTGCGCGGGGATAAAGCGGCTTAAAACCTGTATCCGCTAGGAAATACCTGATTATTATTATTATTATTATTATTATTATTATTATTATTAGTGGGGGTGGTGGCAGTGGTAGGGTGCTATGCTCGTTGTTTTTCTTAGCCTAGTTTTTCATATAGTAGCATAATAGTAGTAAAAGTAACATTATTAATATATTTTAGTCATCTTAATTATCTTATTTTTCACCCAAAAATGTTAATCATATTACTGTGAGCAAAACGTCCAAGACTTTAGTCCTATAAGGTAACATGTTGCGTCACAAAACCCAGTGTTTTCTGCAGAATTGCATGCGGCAGACAACAGCTATGTAACATTAAATGCTCTTAAGACAGGAACAAAAAGGGACCAACTGTAGCAGCCTACAGCGACATCAAATCTGCTCATAACCGCAGGGACCGGCAAACAACACAGTGACAGTTAGGGCGCGTGACAGACTGTCTCCCTTTAAGGTATGTCTCACTATTATCCCTCCGTGTTTGTCTCCTCCACTCCCTCACAGAAACTGCCCCCTCCAACCGTACACACTCTCCGTTTCTCATTTAGCAAACGGTTTCCAGCCGCCGGTTCCGGTGCCGACAGTTCCTCTCTGACCGCCACACACCTGCAACGACAAACAACATGGAGCCCGTTAGCACGAGGCTACACAGACAGCAGCATGGAGGCTGCTCTATGAATACTGCAAGGCGGTCACATGATACTGTAACACAAGTGAGGGCACATTGTTGCCCTCAAGTTGTGCTGAATGAAGCAGTAAGTCACATTCGCCTTCTGACTCAGTTTTGGTGTACTACGGCTAATGCGTAAGCTAATATTCACGTTTTCTAAGTGCGTGCGTCAGGCGTTATTATTGTTTACTTCCGGTAATCACCCGGATTCCTGTGTATCTATATGCCTCACTGATGAGCCTCCGCCTGGAGTTGTAGAACTTAAAATGAATATGTAGACATATTATTTATGCCTATTACATAATTATCATGCTCTAAAGAATAGCTGTATCTGGGTTTTTGGTAAAAGGCTCACAGGCCTGTTTTAAATGATTATAAATGATGTAACTAGGTTAGGCCAGCAGGCTGTATTTTTAATGTAATAACACCTAAAAGTGAATTTATTTTTGAATAGACTTTCATGTGGCTGCTAACAGTGTTATTACCTTACATCTGCACCTGTTATCAGTTTAAATGTGTCGGTCATGTTGGATTTAAAAAAAAATGTCTCACGGCCTAACCAACCATTCAAATGCAGATTATATGTTACTGAAGCAGGATGGGCTAACATTATCCAACACAGCCCAGCCTCTATACTTATGAAGTGTTATAAAACTTGACAATGCAGCATTTGCTAGAAACACTAACCTCACCTGCCGAGGCCTGTCATTAATTTACAGTTGAATTCCACACATGGTAAACACGCTTTAACAGCATATCCATCCAGTGGAGTTGTTTTACACAGCCCAGCTCTTCTTCTGTGTTGGCTCTGACTGCTACACTGAATATGTCACTCTTCTGTCAGAAAGTCATATTTACCCTGCAGGCTGCTGAGCAGGTACCACTGACATTATGCCAAAGCCACAATCACGTTAAGAGCTAACGTGCTAATGCATATGGGCTGTATATATAATAATAGCATTACCGTCCTGTGTGTGTCCCAGGCTGTAGGCCATGCCTGTCCTGTCCTGTCCCGACTGTTAGTGCTCATTAATGATTAAACCACAGTCAGCTCCAACACAATGCTGCTGCTTCCCGTTCCCACAAAGCGGAGAGGAAGCGCCGCGTCCTGCCAGGGAGAGGGAGAGAGAGAGGGAGAGAGGTCAAAATGAAAGTTAAAAAGAGAGATTCCCCATCTGTCTCCGTGATCCTGCACAGAAAGCGAGAGTCGAGGATTAAACGTATTATCTGTCTCCCAGCTCTGAACAGTGTTACTTAAAAAGAGAGAAGACATGGAGGAATGGACGAGGAGGGTGGGAGGGTGAAGTAAAAGTAAAAATAGAGTCTTTGTCTCTATTTGTCAGTCGGACTGTCTGCAGTTTGGCCATGCAGACAAGTCAGAGCCTGTAGTAGACAGAGAAAGACACAGAGAGGGAGACTTATTTATGGCTGCGGTTATTTTACGACCTCGGCGACACATATTCCGTTTGTAAGTGCGAATGAAAAGCAGGCCGACTGAGCTTTTCTTTTTTTCTCTCCATCTTTCCTCGGAGGTCAGAAGAAGAAGAAAGGGGATAGTTGTGGAAAGAGAGAATATCAGTGATTTCAGTTATTTGTCTTTCATAATTGTACAAAACAGAATAGGCCTGTAGTACTTAAGAGACAGAGTGTGTGTGTGTGTGTGTGTGTGTGTGTGTGTGTGTGTGTGTGCTCCACTGCTTCTT